CATCAAAATAGAAAACTAGCTTCTACCCCCATATCTCAGGGCAAATTACTTCCATGGTCGATCATTATTGCCCAATGGTGCTTCTCAAACTATCTTTGGACATAGCTGGTATCCAGCATATAGGAATACCAGGTTCATTCTTTGGGTATGGCAAGAGTGATGTCCAATAGGCATGAGGGAAATGTCTTAGGCTTTGGGGACTCCAACTAGACAAGGGGATGAATGAAAAAACAGATCATGAAGTTGCTGATTCGTTAAATATTTATCCTTTCATATTAGTGGGTTACAGAGACCCCCATACAAAGGGTGGGTGGCTGTGGGGGTGGGTGGATGCCTATTGGATCAGCTGATTGGTGGGCTGGTTGGCAGAATGGGAAAGCCATAGGGAGAGAGGGGATGCTATTTCAGACATCCAGACTGACCCATAAGGAATGAAGGATTTTTAAAAAAATCTATTAAATAAAAAAATTATAATGCAGGAAGATCTCATATTTAGTTTTTTTTTTTTAAATCAGATCTCATCTAAGGGTGAATATGTGTAAGGTATTTGGGGTTGACTTCCTTAATTCTTTATTTAAATAATTTATTATTAGCCTCCTAGCACATAATTTCTGGATGACCCATTGAACTCCTTAGAAGCCTACAGGTGAGTTTGTTTTTCTCAGGTGCATCCCCAAATCTACTGCTGATTATTAAGATGGCTGTTATGAGTTTGCATTTGGCTCCTCTTTGGAAAGAGATGTACTATTGAAATTCAGTCAGTCTCAGAGCTACCTGGTTAGCCACAGGAGGGCATTTCCTGCACGGAAGAAACTAGAAGATGTTTGGAGGCTTTTTCAACTCTGTGGTTCTATGATAGCTGAATTCTTACTGGTTATTGGTCAGAATCCAATTCATGATTTCCACTTGCAAATTGCTATGAATTAATGATAGGGTGGTTGTATTCCTGGTTTTGGCAAGGCAACTTGCTTCTAGAAACTGAATTAGCAATGCATTAATGAACAGCAACTTGCTTCAAGGACTTAACAGGACTTCGCTTGTGCATGCAAGCAATGCCAATTGGATTGTGGCCATTAATGGAGCTTCTTAAAATTGCTGTGCAGAGCAACTTTTTTTGTGTTATTGTTTTTTTCCTCAGATATCCCTTACATTGGCCTCTTTTGAACTGGAAGCTGCCAGAGACTGCAGATATGATAGACTGGTCCTTCGTGATGGTGGTCGAAACCACTCCCCACTTGTTGGCATTTTCTGTGGAAAAATGGAGATTCCAGCTTTCATTTCGACTGGGAGCTTTCTACGTATTGAGTTTTACGCTGATGTTGCTTTTGAATTTTCTGGATTCAAGTTAGATTATTCAATCAGTTAAGTACTTCTGTTCTTGTGCGGGTGTCTAATTACACATTTTCATGTTGGTAAACTGTGAACAAATAATGAATTACAGCATTAAGGCCTTGAGAGATATTGGATCCATTATTTGTAACCACATGTTTAATTAAAAGGAAATACTCTCTTAAACTAACAATACTGATGTGATACACTGAATGATTCTGGAGTGAGAATTTTTAAAAGGGCACAGGTGGGGAATTCCACAATGTCAAAAGAACAAGGATGAGTGATGCCTTTATTTGGCTGTCAAAATGCTAAAAACAGGAATGCTTTTGAGTCCATCTGGACCCTTCATCATGGCGAAAGTTGAAGGGATTGGGAAAAAAACAGCATAGTTCAAAAGTCATCCTGACCAAACATTGCAAGATGGAGATGGGAAGGTTGTTGCAGCTTGGGGAATGTGGTTTCACCTCAGGCAATGCAGGACAAACTCTCTGTCTCAGAATACAGAGAGCTGCCAGTCATCCAGTGTATTCTCCACAGACTTGTGTCAAAACATATCATGTCTGTTTGGCTCAGAGTAGAGGCACAGAGACGTGGCAATCACCATGTCTTCTCTGAGCACCAAGTTCAGTGAATGGGTTTGTTGCCTGTACTAAGAAAGATGGGCTACACCTAGTGACTGAAAGCTAGGTCTCAGGTGCATTACAAGTATGATGTGATGTGAGGAAGGTAAACTGAATTATACATTTGCCCCTTCTGCAGTCAGATAAAGGCAACGTGATGAGCTCAGTGAATATGCCTTTGAAAGGCCTTTTCTATTAGCACATAGAGAGCAGCTACTCAGTGGTAATGGTATGAATCAAGAGGCAACATAATTGATCCCCATCCCTGTATCCAGCGTGGGCCTCAGACAGCTATCGGGAACATTTTTGAGACTATACAAGTGTGTGTATATATGTACAAGTGTGTGTGTCTAGTACCTTATTTTCACTCCTGGAAAGAAGGTTTTGCATAAGGAGCTTACAAGCCCCACAAAACTGGGATAAGAGCATCAGAAGTGTCTGCCTGAGCCATTGCTATATACATTTTTATATGCCTCAAGTTAGGCATTTCAGAATCAGATGCAATTCCCAGGGGTAAAGAACTCTGATTTATGAAGCTACTCAGCTTTATAATCTATCAACACATCTACCATCTTACAGTCATTTGTATAGAAATACACTGGTTTTCATCATTTAAGATTGTCCTGATAATGGAAGTGACTTCTGTCTACCACAGAACCTATAATCCTGACTGACCTTTCATAGCCAGGCAGCTGGAATAGGAAGGCTCTGGAGAGCTGAGAGCCATACATGGCCACCTCTGGACCCTGGAGGGCCACATTAGCACCTTCCTGCTCCCAACTACAGTATTTCTCTTTTTAAAGACCTTTTAACAAACTGATTTTTCTTATGACCCTCCTCAAATTGACAGTGTGTATGTAGGAACCAAGGAATGCTTATCCCCACCACTAACACAGAAAATTGCTTTTGACCATTCAGTGCGTGTGCATAATCACACTTTCTGGCAAGAAGTAGTTTTTAAAAAATTTGGGGGCAGGTGCTGAGAGGTGCATTGGACACAAAGGCTGTACTTTGCCCACTTTTGCCACATAGACAGAGATGTCAGGGGTTTTAAGTCTAGGGACCTATAAAATCCAAAGCACGTATTTTTCTGCTGAACCAGTTTCCCCATATCCTATCACTGATCTTTGAACATGCAGAATCCTCTTTAAGGAACACTTCAGTAATATGTGGGACTGGACTGGGAAATTTGAATCCAGCCCAAGAATTTTCTCAAGACTTCTAACTGTAATATAGTTGACTTAATTTTGTGTTTTAGACTGACTTGTGAATATTAATTTCTTGAACCCTATATTCCATGATTTCCTAGCCAACATGATAAGTGGCTGGCTAGGAGATTCTGAGAGTAGTCATCCAAAAAAAGTAACTTTTCCAGGGTCTAGTTTTGAACCAAGAGAGGTCTGACCCAGGGGTGAGAATTTCCCCAGGGATGGGGAGTTGTTCACAAATTCCAGCCCCTGGACTTTGGTGAGCAATACCCATACCTGTGACCCCATCCCCAATGTTTTGTTTGTTATATTTATTTTTTAAAAAGAATTGAAAAAGCCTCCGTGGTCCCTCTAGCAGCCGCATGTTGTTGTTTTTAAAATATATGTGGTGGGTGACAAAGGATACTGGAATCCTCTTAAAACATGAAAAAAATACTGCCCACATCCCAGACTCTCAAGCATCAAAATACTGGAAATGTTTACTTACAGTCTGATAATGGCTGCATAAATTTGTGTCTGGGTTTCTCATGTAGTAGGACAGAAAACAACATTTCTACTATGGTTGAAATCTGGTCACTACTAGAGTAAGCCCACTGAATCAGTGTGGATTTGGTAAGTCCTCCTCTCTAAGTTCCCTTGATTCAATGGTCTCACCCTACTACTAGTACCACTACTACATAACCCATGTATTGTAGTGGCTGAGGCACAGATAATTTTAATCTGTTAGCACAGTTTTAGCACATGAACTGATATGGCAAACTTGATCTGTCATTGCAGTTTTGCCATCATGAAGAAGAGCCTGCTCAAGAATTGACTTCATCCTTAATTGCCAGCAATAAAGAGAACAGATGTTTTGGAACTACGATACCTGTGCCTCTTTCTGAGATTGTGCTTTGGCTTCAAAAATGCAGACACCTGAGCAATGAGTCTAACTAGCAAAGACATAAAGGGGCAGCTGAAGCAGACAAGGAGAACCATTCTGTGCTGCATCTCTTCAGTCCCTGTTTCTGCAAATCGCTTGGTGGTGGCAGCCTTGAACTGTGTAGAAAGATGCATAAGTAAACCTTTAAACTTCTTCCATTTGTGGAACTGTGCTTTCTGTTCAGACTGCTTTTCTCTATGAAATTTCCCAGTGCCCAGTATTTTTTCCTCGTTTAGGTGCACAGCCCTTTGCCAGAGGGTTGTGCACCTGTACTTTTCTAGGACCTTCAGCCTTAAACATCGCAAGTGCCCAGGTTGCTGTTCTTTGATAAAGAATCTGCAGTTTTAGAAAGTGGAGTGAAAGCCGCTCTCAGCCTTTTGGAAGTCAGTAATTTTTGAAGTTGCCATGAAAAAAAAGGAATTTGGTGGTACATAGCCTCTCTGAAATTGAGGGTGCCATGCATGGTTCTTTACCCTTAGCTTACATTCTTAAAGTTTGAAGAGGGTATCAGTAAAGATCGGGGGAGGAGAAAACCTGTCTCAAATTAAGCTTTTTGACACCTTTTAAAGTTATTTTGAAAAAAATAGCCATAGTGACCAGACCCAAGCTTGCTACTATTATAGTTTCAACATTAAAGAAAAAATTCTTTACTCCTATATTTATTCAAAAGTATTCAAAATAATTCTTTTTAGTTACTTTAAAAATGACAAGATGGAGAATGCTACATGCGGCTGGCCTGTGGTAGAAAGACAGTGAGACCACACACTCTGTAACTATGAAAACAACTAACACCAGTTACAGTTACAATACAAAAGAAAGGAAATTACCCCTCACTACATTACAATTGTAATGCAACTTAATTATGAATTACAAATGAGGCATTATTTACATCAAATACACACTTCATAAAATTTTGCAGAGACCTCATACAATGTTGTTCTCCTCTCACAGCCCTCTTTTGTTCTTCCACCACTTTCTCCCTCTTGTTTTTCCTCAGTAGAGAAAATCCCTGCATAGTAGCTAGACGGCACCTTCTAACTGCTAGTGTGACAACCAACCAGAAAATCCCTTAGCTATTAAATAAAATAAGTAATTGCATTGCTCCCTGTAAATACAACCACTATTTAATGCAAGCAGTTGCTTACAAAGTGGTTGCTCTAGACTTATGTCCAGTTATGTGTTGCATATGAAAAAATTTATCCTTAAATTCTCAATATTGTGCAATAATTGTCAAAAAAGAATATTTTGCTGAAACATTACTATGATGTCAGTTTTCAGTAGAAAGTTCGACAAAGATATTCACAGTTTAAGAGTAAATCTGATTTCACTGTTATTTAATATGTATCTGTGGATGACAGGTGCATGCAAAAACATTAGTTATACAGTATAACTTCTGTTTACACCTTTAGTAGAGTGAAGGTGCAGTTCCACTGGCATTAAGAGCAACAGTTCAATCACTTTTACTATTATTTAAATTGATTTATAAATTTCTGGGCACATAGTGCAAAGGTAAAATTGGTTTATTTGATCTGCAAAGCAAATTTTGTTTTAATTGTCCAGAAAGGGCTTTTTTAAATAATTTGCTTCCTAAATGAATTTAATTCACTTTGGGTAGGTGGTTGTGAACAGTACTGTTGATTTACTTTGTTTCTATTTTGAATTTGAGCACCATTGGTACATGGTTTTTCTTCTCCAATATTTTATTCCTTATTAAGATGTTTAGCGATGCATCACTTAGTGCGCTTTTTGTATTGTTGAGAGCTTATCACTGCATCACTTCATCAATATGTTCTTTATTAGAATCATCCTCCCTGTTTGCTCCTTTTCTTTTTTCCTATTAGTTATCACTTGTGCTCTCCTCTTCAATTCTTCTCCCTCCCTTTTTTGTTCTTCTGCATATATGATACCAAGTGGTGCCTCATTTTACAAACAAGCATGGCCATCGATTTAGTGATGTATCACTTAATTTTTTAAAACCCAAATTTTTAGGAAGAGCGTTCTTCTAAAACAGAATAGGAAATGAGTCAATTTAACAGTGTAGTCTCCCAAATTGGTTTAAATTAACAAAAAATAAATCAAAGTAATTTAAATCAAAGTGAACGCCCATACTGATTTATATACCACATGACTGTGCAGCAATGTAAAAAAATTCAGACACGGAATTTATTCATGGCCAGTTTGACCGAGACCTAAGTGATTTTCTAAATTTAGCAGATGAAAAGATACTGGTATCCTCCAAAGGCTGCTGATGTTCAAGCCACAAACTGACTTTAGAGGTAGCTTTGACTTATATTTTTACCCCATGTGAGTGTCTGTCAGAACAGAAGCTTGTTTGGTGACTGGACCTCAGGATTTAAGCAGAAGATTCCTTTTAAGTTTGACTGCACAAACAAGGGGAAAAAAACCCTCAAATCACCTTTCTGTGAAATTAACATGCCTTCAGCTTTAATTATGGACAATGTCTAAATTCTATTTCTGGACTCAAATTTCACAGTGGGTTAACACATTCTAAGCAAAACAGTTTTGTTATTAGTCATATTGCTTCTCATTTTATATAAGAAAGAACAGAGACAAAAGCTAACATCGGTAATGGTGAACAGGTGGTGATTCTAACCGTTTTCAAGCTGTTCGGTTTCTCAGGACTTAATATCAAACTGTACAAAAGAAGAGATAAAATTAGTGTGAGTTCTTTGTAAATCATTACATACTACAATCTCAAATAATTGAACTTTTATGGTAGCACTATTTTACCCAAATTCTGCAGCCAGAAGAATTTATATATTTCAACAACAGGTAGTAATGGCAATAAATTGCCCTGTGGCCCCTGAAAGGCCTTTAAAAGAAAAACGGCATAAACTTTCACAGGCTGCAGCCTACTTCCTTAATGAGTTAAACACAGCCTTTTGGGCATGACCCATGAGGCTATGATGTACATTGTTAGCATCAGCAAAGGGGTTTGTGGGATGAAACAGCACAGAACATCGACATTATAGGCTAACAAATATTATTGTGTGCTGTTTTTTTTAGATGAATTGGTGGTAAGAATATGCCTTTATAATGGGAAATATTATTCACATCTAAGGTAACCAGGGGATTACTTAGGGTTGTACTAAATTTCATTTAAAAATAAGTAGCATACAAATGAAATAAGTTCACAAAACTAGGGTTGCCAGTCAGTAGTATCTAAATCCCTGCGGTAACTTGAGATCTGGAGATGTATCCTTATAATGTTACAGAGGGCAGGCCCCTTGCGAAAATAGTGTATCCGTGCTTGTTTATGTGTTTTACAGAGAGACTACCGAGATAATGTATGATGAATATGAAGTGTGAATTCCAGCAGCAGCTCTATAGCAAAGGAGATAATAAAAAGAGAAAGGTGCTTTTGAACATGTCTGAATTACATGTCTTGAAGCCTGAAGAATGACCCCCAAAATCAAGGGCTGCAAGTATCCCATGTGAGATTTTCGGTCCATAGGCTGAGCCCTGGGGAATGGATCTCACCAGCTGAGATGCTGATTCAAAACCAGTGATCTAGAATCCCTACATGTAGGCCCCAACTAGAGATGAGGTTGGCCGAAACCTCCTCACTAACCTAGCTTTTATCTTATAAAATCTTTCCTATTTGTCCCCACACAGATAATTTTTACAATGGGGAACCTCTATAGATTCTAAAGACCATTCCCCTTGTAACCATCAGATAAGAGCGAGAGTTTTAGGACTGAAGAATTGGTGGTGGAAGGAGCCCTTTTAAGGAGAAAGGTGAGGTAAAAATATTTTAAATAAATAGATAGATAGATAGATAGATAGATCGATAGATAGATAGATAGATAGATAGATCGATAGATAGATAGATAGATAGATAGATCGATAGATAGATAGATAGATAGATAGATCGATAGATAGATAGATAGATAGATAGGTAGATAGATAGATAGATAGATAGAGAGATAGATAGATAGATAGGGTTTAAAACCCTTGCTCATCTATCTACCGTATGTGTCCTGATTCTAATCCAGATCAGAGTTTTTATGTGTCTTTTAGAGTTAAAAGAAAATATGCCTTAGTGGTACACTCTGTAGTATGTAGTGTGATCCTCAGACACTTATCAAAATGCAGTCCCTGTGATGTCTTAGAGAAGCATGAATGCTTGAACACTTTAGACATGCCTATCAATAATGTAAGAAGAAGATTGTGTGTGCATTAAGCCGCATGGCTCTTCTCTTTCAAAGAGGGGGCAGGCACAGATGGCATGCAGCACACTTTCAATGGAGTAGAATCATCCGAATGCTTACAATTCTTAGGAAGCAAGGGAAAATTTATATTTGTAGGCCATGGTAGCTTGGGAAATCTAGGAGCTATGGTCCAAAAAAGTAACTTATCCAAGCTCTGGTTTCTTCATCAAGTGAACAAAGGGAATGGATTTTCAGGATCTGAGCCAGGCCTTCAACTTATTTGTGAATCAAAGCATTAGCATAAAAAAAATCCTGAACCAAAACTCATTTTCCCAATCTGTTTTTGAGTTCTATATATACAAAAGAAGGATTCTCTGCTAATATTTCTATCCTGATGAACTAAATAATGTCATGCATATGACACCTCTGCCCAGCCAGTTACCCTGGGCATAATTACAGCTGCCCAATAAGTTGCAATTGTATAGTTGAATGTTTCAGAGACAGGGAGGAGAGAGATAATCTTTGATTGATGTATTGATTAATTTACTTCCTTAATTTCTATCACATGTTCCCTGCTTTGGGAACCGATTTTCACTTTACAACGATCTGCAAACAGCTGATCATTGGGTTTCAAAATGGCCATCGGCTGAAGAAAATGGCCCCCTGCTGTTTTCTAGGACGGATTCCTCGCTTTACAGGCACCGAAAATGGCCGCCGTATAGAGGATCTTCACTGGACGAGCAGGTATTCAGCCCATTCAGATGCTTTGCTTCTATTTCCTAAAGGCCAATAAAGACTATTTTTAAAACAAAAAATATTTTATTTATTTATTTATTTATTTGATTTATATACCCCCCCATCTGGCAGCCAGATGGGGGGTATATAAATCAAATAAATAAATATGGTGGCATATAAATTAGTGCATTATCGGAGATACTGTTGCATCAGTAGTTGTTTACTCTGGGAAAGCCTATTTCAACTTCCAGATCTTTAATAACTTCTTAAAGGGGTCTAGTGAGGCAGGTGAACTTGAGTTCGTATTGAAATCATTCTACCATTTTTGAGATCGTATCCCAGTACAGCTTTTCCCACTCTTTTGTTGACTATGAGGGCTACTCCATTCCT